AAAGGAAATGATTTCTTTTTAGTGAAGTAATTGAAAAAAGAACTTTAGTATGGATAAGCAGAATTTCCTCTTGCTTAAGCAGGACTAGGGTAAGGCAGGTGAAGCACCTGCCTGGGATGCAAAATATAGGAATGAAACAGAAAAGCTCAGTGATCAAGACCAATCATCTCTCTCTCTTCTTCTTCTTCTTTTTTTTTTTTTCCAGAGAGAGAGAGAGAGAAAGAGAGAGAGAGAGATGAGGGGCAGAAGAAAGGGAGAAAGAGAGTCTCAAGGAGACTCCATGCCCAGCACAGAGCCTGATACAGGGCTGGATCTTATGAACCCTGAGATCATGACTGAGCTGAAATCAACAGTTGGGCTCTTAACTGATTGAGCCACCCAGGCTCCCCAAGATCAATTATTTTTTTTAAGGCAGTATCATAACAAATCAAAATTGATGCAAAAACCATGACAAATATTAAAAGTTTTCAAATTAAGGTAGAATTGATAATAATGCTATCTGGGGCCATGTTGGAGACTAAGGCAGAGGAAAAATGCTGATCTTCCTTTACTTAAAATTTTGATATTTGGTTTGTCTTTTTTTGCATTAATTTTAGTATTTTTACAAGTAACATATTGAAATATTATTGATTTTGATGAAATCCTTTTTCCATTTCCCTTAGATTTTGTGCCTGAGGTAACTCACTTCTACTACATGAGTTCTGTCCTGACTAAGCAGCCTCCAGACTTCAGTTTGCAGCTTCTTGTTAGACAGACCTCCCTAAATTGATCCTGCCAAGATCACGTTCAGCTTGTCCAAAACAATCAATCTCATCATTCTCTCCAAACATGCTTCTCCTCTTCTTCCTAATTTCATTAACATGATGTAATTTTGACTCAGCGTTCTCATTTTGTGTCCACAGTTAATCAACCAGGGTATCCAAAATGCTTCTCAGTCCATCCCAGTGGCCTACTTTCTTGCTCTTGCTTTGAGTCTCATCTTGAGGAGAGGTATGCCTGGAAGTGAATGGCCTGGTTTATTTAGGCCTTTGAAGTAGGCTGAGGAATGGCCCCTGCACTTTTCAACTGACTGAACTTGGACACGTTACCTAACATTACTGTGTCTCATTTTTCTCACTTGTGGAATGGGAATACTGATTTTAAAAAAAAATACCTCATAGGAGTGTCATGATTATTAAGTGAATAAATAGACACAAACTTGGAATCACCCCTGACATATAGGAAGTTGAATTTCATAAATTCAACTGAAATTGATAGTGGCTAATCCACTCTCTAAATCCACTCCTATGAGAACAATATTTGTAATTCTGAAGGAGATAAGGACTGCCCATTTTCCATACAAAAAAGTTTCCTAAAACCAGATAACAAATTCCCTTCCATGTCTAGATTTTCTCTCTCTCAAATTCTAGACTCTTAAGAGTAGAATATTTTCTCCCCTTTGTGTTATAGTACTTTTTCCATATCTGTCTTACCAATTCTTTACGTTTTAATTAAAGATGCATCGATTCTAGGGCGCCTGGGTGGCTCACTCGGTTAAGTATCTGCCTTTGGCTAAGGTCTTGATCCCAGAGTCAGAGCTGGGGATTGAGCCCCACACCTGGCTCCCTGCTCAGCAGGGAGCCTTCTTCTCCCTCTGCCCCCCCCCCTTTGCTCATCTGCATGAGCTCTCTCTCTCTCAAATAAATAAAATCTTAAAAAAAAAAAGAAAGATACATAGATTCAACATCATTATTACCCTGGCTCCACTGAATTTCAGCATCCTGCATGCTTCCGGTGATCTTGATATGCAGTACATTGCAAAGTGTGTTTTAGCTCACAAGATTGTAGGCTCACTCACAGACTTGTGTCTCACCATTTTCTTCTCCGGCCTTAGGATAACACATGCTCAATTGGTGTGGTTGAATAGCTTATTTTGGACTAAATGACTTTTTATTATTATTTTTTTTTATCCATTTACAAATACTCTCTTAGTCCAGGTCTGAACAACCAAGGTAAGTAGGTCTTTTACTGAAAATCCCAAGGTGTGAAGACTGTGGTTAAATTCAAGACAGGTGTTCTTCTAGAAGGCTAATGCTCAGGGGAAATGTTGCACAGTTTGATCCTTGAAATAAATAACAATGTTCAAGAATATAATTGATTCATTGTGCAATGAGTTGGAATGAGTTGATAAACCAAAAATAAAAACATACTAACAAAAAAAAATTGTTTCCAAGTGATCTTCATTCCTCAAGGTGCAGAATCTTAGAGCTCAGAGGATCTTATTTCCATCACTGAATTGTGACCACAAAATTGTGGAAATTAAATATATGCAAAAGACAGGAAGTGTATATATATTTTTTTCCAGGAGAGGGAAAGTCTTTAAAGTTGGTATTTATTTGCTTTCTTTTCTCTATAAATGTATAATGTCATTAAAAATACAATTGTTTTATTGGTAGTCCTGCTGAATAGCAATAACTTTTGTTTGATTTACCAAATGATTTAAGAGTTTAAGTATGGAACCCGGCATCAGAAGAGTTGAGTGTTGTGAGGATTAAAAGCAATAATGTATGCCAAAGCTGTGAGAACACAATCAATAAACACAGTTAATAATTAGCAAGATCCCTTAGCCCCAGTACCTATCAAAGCCATGTGATTATTAAAAGTGAAAAATGCACTCTAGGGAAATTGTATTTAAATTGTTCCTGATTATACTAGACAAACTAGAACTTCAAAAAAAATTCACCTTTTTCTTTTTTTAGTTTCATTTGGATTATACAACTTTCCCTTTCGTTAATTAATTTAAAATTACACATAATACTATGATGACATGGTCACGTCTCAGTACCTTGGCGAAGGTTTTATTGGTTTTGAATGATTGCTGTTTTGATAAATCATTCATTTCTTGTAAAACTACTTACTGCCCCAGGTTGATTCAGCAACTTCCTTTTTAATATCTTCATTATACATAAATCATTTATTATTTTTATTGTATAGGAAATAGCTAACCCCTGCAAGACTGTTGAGAGGAAACCCCATCATTATTTTAGTTTACATATTAGAAAATGCTTATGACAAAAAGAAAGTTTGAGAATCTAAAGTCTCATGGAGATTTATGATGTAAAATGATAATTTTTGCTTTAAGTTTACGTTTATGCAGATAGAGATATAAAGATAATTCTGGTTTTAAAATATGATAAGATTGAGGCTAACGTGCTTGAGACTAAAGTAGCTATTTTTTTGCCTGATTTTTCTAAATGTATCTATTTATTAATTATCACAATTAGCATTTCATTTAGTTTTGTTTGTGTGTAGCCGTGATTTGACCAGCCTTGAGAAATAATTTAGGATTTTCAAGGACTATGTCAACAACTACTTAGAATATTTAAATGTCAGAGCTGTATGACCATAGAGAATGATGGAAATCAAACATGATCAGATCATCATTTTATGTGCAGGTACTTACAAAAATAAGGTTAATTAATTCACTTAAACCAAATACCAGGTTGTTTAAAAGAGTTAAAGGCAAGAGGCCTGGGTGGCTCAGCAGTTGAGTGTCTGCCTTTGGCTCAGGTCATTTTCCTGGGATCCTGGGGTCCTGTGATGGAGTCCCACATCCCGGTCCCTGCAGGGAGCCTGCTTCTCCCTCTGCTATATTTCTACCTCTCTCTCTCTCAGTGGCTCTCATGAATAATTAAATAAAATCTTTAAGAAAAATAAAATAAAAAATAAAAGTTAAAGGCTTAAAAGACCTGCTTCTCACTGACCATAAATTCTTCCTTCAGCAAATTCTATCCTTGACTTAACATCTCTTTATTTGAGTTTAAATTAAGCAATTTGCTATTCCTTTGACTCTAGCTTCCTCTTATCTTGATACTTTGAGGCTTTCCAAAAATCACAGGCTTCTATGGACTACTCAAATTGATTGAAAGGATTTTTGAAGAGTTTGTTGTTTTGTTTTTGTTTTGTTTTTTTTGTTTTTGTTTTTGTTTTTTTTTACGTATTTCAGAGAACACTGTTCTGAAGCTGGCAAAGCGGAGCCTCATCACTTCCAGGTCTGCTCAGTCTCTCTCCTGAAGTGACAAAGATTAAAAGTAAGCCATTCCATAATTATCCCCTAGATCCTTGGTGCTCATGCTCCCAGCTGAGGCTCACTGAGGAAAAAAGTGGTAGGCAGTTTGTTTCACGAAAGAAATTGTGGGGCATTGTGATACTTGGGAGACTTCTGAAAAGCAAGAATCATTCTTATTTTTCCCACTATTTTTTAATTTTAATATTTATTGTAAATTTTTCTGATTACAATAGTTACATTTACTGAAGACAATTTTGAAAGTATCAACTACAAATAAGATTCAAATTATCTCTAATCATACAACCCACAGATAAGTTCTGATAACATTTTAAACAAAATTAAGATCATGATATGAAACTCTACCTTTTTAAATTATTATTATTCATGAGAAACACAGAATGAGACTCAGAGACATAGGCAGAGAGAGAGGGAGAAGCAGGCTCTCTGTGGAGACCCCAATTTGGGACTCAATCCCAGGACCCTGGGATCACGCCCTGAGCCATAGGCAGATGCTCAACCACTGAGCCACCCAGGCATCCCAAAAAAGAGTAGTCTTATATGGTTTTTAGAAGAATAAAAGGGGGCATGATTGGAGAATACTTTAGAAGTATCTATCACATTTTTATTTTTTTTAAAGATTCTATTTATTTATTCATGAGAGACACAGAGAGAGAAAAAGAGAGGCAGAGACACAGGCAGAGGGAGAAGCAGGCTCCATGCAGGGAGCCAGATGTGGGACTCGATCCCAGGATTCCAGGATCACACCCTGAGCCTAAGGTGGACACTCCACCGCTGAGCCACTCAGGCATCCCATCCATCAAATTTTTAAAAAGAAATATAATTTGATCCATCAGTTTCACTTCTACAAATCAATTCTTCAGAAAGAGTGGTATTCATATGCAAAGTTATATATAAAATCCTGTAGGTTTAAATACTATTTGTAAAGCAAAAAGCCTAGAAAGAAAAACTAAAAGTACATTAATGTAAGATTAGTACATCAATATAATGTGTCGGAAGGCAGCAATTTTTCAATTAGCAATAATCACGCCTCGGATAAACTTCATTGGCTATCATACTGCCACTGCGCAAAGCTAGGCAGCAATTTTTAAATGAGATAAATGTTTATGTACTTCCCTTTAAAAAATAGTGCATGGTAAGTACAAATTGCAAGGTAAAAGCAAAAGGGTTACCATTTTGGTTCATGTACGCATATTTACATGTATGTATATATGTGTATTTATCTGTATACTTATGATAATGATGATGGTTATGTTGATACTAATGATATAGCAAATATATACTGGCCTCCTACCTTGTGCTAAGCCCTATCCTAAGCACGCTACATGAATAGACTCAACTAACCCTTAAAAACTACCCTACCAGCTGGGAATTATTTTTCTCCCTTTTTGAAAGACCACAAACAATTTACCCAAGACACACTGTAGGTGACAGAACTGGAATTGATTTCAACGGTTTGTGTTCAGAATTGCATCTCTTAAACCTTTCATTGAAATTCTCTGAACAGGTCCAGCCTGAAACAGGGTGACAGACCACACAGCCTGGTTAGAGTTGTCAAGCTCTCAGAGTCTCACAGATGCTAGATTCTCCTCTGAGCCATCCAGGAATCTTTGGAGAGCTCTTGGCATTTTTTTTAAAGACCTGGGCTCCTTTTCTTCTCCAACAATATGTCATTGGAATCTATCTTTGATGTCTTAATTAATACCTCTAGGGAATAAGATGGAAAGTCAATGAATATGATATATTAAGGCCCTATTAGATAAAGAACAGCTTTTGGGGAAAATACTGGCACTTATTTGGTAAGAAGCTTTTTATTGGAGCCACAATGATATCGATTTGAGAATATTAATAATTAAGAACTGAAAGCAATGAGGAGAAATGTTCTACATTTGAGTACAGTTGTACAGCACAGCAATTGTGAGCCAGAGATGAGCTTGTTCACATTCTTACAATCACATTAACAATCGATAAAGGCCCACGTGCATAACCTGCTGCTTATATTTCTCTTTGAAAGTTTTGAGCAGTCAATAGACTACTGCCCCCCTCCCCCCAAAAAAACCCAAAACCATTAAATGACATTTTTGTCAGGGTTATATGAGATTATCAAGCACTTATTTTAGGAAAAAAGAGCAGTGATTTCCAAGGCTAATTCAAACCAGATGCAGTTTGAAAGTCAAAGTATGTTCCAATGAGAAAACTGTCTCTTTCAGGGCAATTCAGAATCATTCAACTGTGCAAATACATGCTGCATATTTGGCTTCTGCTGTACAACAAATGTGTTTTTTAAATTTCCTTTCAAAGCGATTCTTTGGCCAGTCATACATATCTATTGCTATGTATTTTAAATTAAATGTAAATGGTATCTCAGAGCCAATAATAATTAAAGTTTACTGGGCACATTCTATAAATATGCTACTTCCTTGTTATGTGCCTTTTATGAACAATCTATTTTAACCTGTACAACAATGAGCATGTTTTTACATGTATGTGCTCAGTATATATTCATCATCACTATTTTACAGATGGAGATGTTGAGGAGGTCACTTATTTGTCAGAGGACACACTGATTATAAATGGAACATCTGGAAATAAAACCCAGGTAGCTTTATTTCATTTTTAATGCAAATTCCAGATTCCTAACTACTATACTCCCTGCCTTTAAGAGTTACAATCATGCAGTAGGCAGGAAACAGCTTTTAAGTGTCTTTTCACCTTTAATTTTATCATGGAAAACTGACTTTGTGGAACTGTATCCCCTAAACTACTAAGTATTTGACCTATTTATTTGTCTATAAAATTTGACAAACACACAAAACAGCTTTTTATTCTCCTCTTTAAGTGGAAAAATGTCTTTCCATGTTTTCTAGAACAAGATAAAATGTAAAGCCAAAAAAACTTCCATATTTTTAAATGACTGTGGAGGAACCTTCGATTTTTTTCATTGGTTGAAATACAAAGTAAAAATACTCAAGTGTCAGACACTCCAGGTGGCTCAGCCGTTTAGCGCCGCCTTCAGTTCAGGGCCTGATGCTGGAGACCTGGGATTGAGTCCCATGTTGGCCTCCCTGCATGGAACCTGCTTCTCCCTCTGCCTCTCTGTCTGTCATGAATAAATAAAATAAAAATCTTTAAAAAAAATTCAAATGTCAAACTATTTCTGTTTTCCTTTTATTGTAGTAGAACTTTAAACTTTTAAATTTCAATTTCATCATTAAATTTTTAAACTTCTCTTAGCAGATGGGCAGAGCACTTTCTGCAGAAAAGATTCACTTTTATAGTTTCAGCATCCCAAGAGGGAAAGTGGAAAGCTATAAAAATTGAAAACCTGTCCTGGTCATCCAAATGACAGAAAAGTCAACCTCCTGATGACCTTTTGAAAGATGTGACTCTTTTCTAAATAATAAGCTTGGTTTACTTGACCTGACAAGTAAAGAAGCCATCTAGTTACAGGGTCATATGAGGAAAGCTGCTTGGCACAGACCTCCAGAGTGGTGTTCCTCAGACTTTCCACAGTCTCAGATTTTAGTCTCATTACTTGAAATAATTAAATTGTCACAGACCTTAAAAAATACATGTTACTAATTTTCAACTAGTATTTTTTTTAAAGATTTATTTATTCATGATAGACGTAGAGAGAGAAAGAGAGTCAGAGACACAGGCAGAGGGAGAAGCAGGCTCCATGCCGGGAACCCGACGACGTGGGACTCAATCCTGGGACTCCAGGATCAGGCCCTGGGCCAAAGGCAGGCACTAAACCGCTGAGCCACCCAGGGATCCCCTCAACTAGTATTTTAGTATAGAAAATTCCCTGAAAACAAATGACTTGGTTTAAACTATGTCAGTAACATTTACAATTTCACTCACTAATCTCTTTTCGGGCAACGTTTTTCTGCAATGTGCTTTGGATGTTGCAAACAAACCAAAACCAAAACAGAACAAAAAATTTCATTATTTTCCATTGCAAGTTTACTTGATTTTAATAAATATTCATCACTTCCTGGTTTAATCTGGAAATTGTTCAATGAAAGAGAAAGCAAGATCTGTAGACAGGAGGTGCCCCACACAAATTCAGGGAGGAAAAAACTTACTGATGATTACCACACGTAAGAAAACGTAGCCCACACCTGCCAGTTGTTTTGGAAATGAGAGACATGTCAAGCCATACCTCATCCTGAATGCGGCTGGCCTTTTGGATGGCATCATAAACTCTTCCTAATGTATCCAGCCATGCAGCTCTAGGAGCTTTATTCACGTCATAAATATTTCAGAAGGCATTTATAGCAAAATCATTTTTTAAACCATACAAAGTCCAAATTTATTATGTTTTTAAGAAAAACATTTTATAATGGGGAATCGTAATCTTAGACAAGAGTTGGCCTAAGAGGATAGTGAACCCCTATATGCTAACCACTCAATATCAAAAACTATTATCACCTTACCAATTTCCTTTTATCTTTTTCTCACCAACTACTTTCCTGGAGGATTTTAAAGTGACATTGTATCATTTTATTCATAAATATTTTACTATATCTCTAAATGAGAATAGGATTTTTTTTACCTTTTGTCTTTAAGGAATACATACATTGCATTTTTGCCATTGTTTAAATAAGTATTGAAAGCACATAATAAAGGCCATTATGTAAGAGGATAGTAATTAAGACCATTAGAATATAGCTGAAAGGGAAGAAATATTTTCATTTTTTTTTTTTTTTTGCATTCTCTTACTTTAAGTACTCACTAAGCTTCTCCCTCTTTGCTGTTTCTGTGATTCAATAAGAAAATACATTTTGGAGTCATTATAAGTTTTGGAACTAGATCAAAAGAAAGGCCAATACATGCAAGAGAAGGCATATTTTCCTTAGCAATCATTGAATATTTTTGTAAGGCTGCAAGATTTCAGGTCATAGAAACAAGTATTTTGCTATGCATTCTTATGCCAGATAGAAATAAAATAGTAAATTAGTAACCCAGGTTTTACAATTCATGTGAAACACTTCCTGAGTTCAATGTTTTCCTTTTTGTCACACAGCTAAAAGAATATACAGGGATAAAAGGAATTAGAACCATTCTCTTTGTGCTATTCTATAGGTCTCCATAATTTCTTTAAATTTCTACATATTTTTATTATAATAGATCTAAATTCTACATAACATTATGTATTGATACACCAAGATTAAAAATATATATATTAGGTAGATGACAGATTTTTAAATTTTTAAAATCTTTGTTGCTATTTCTATTTTATTTATTTTATTTGCCTTGGGATTTTTATCTCAGGTGCACAGAATTTTATCTCAGGTGCACAGAATTGCCTTGGGTCATAGCAAATTTTTATTGTCAACCAGTGTTTTATTTCATGATTCTTCCCATTCATTCCTCCATCATCAATCCCCTTCCCACACCCATCTGGCACCCACTCACATGCAGTCCAAGCAATATTCCTCATAGTTTGTGGCCACTTGTAAATATGTTTGTCCTGGAAACTAACCAACCAGCTTCCTTCCTTACTTCCTTCCCTCCTCTTTCTTTTATTCTCTTTTTCTTTCTTTCTCTTTCTTTCTTTCTTTCTTTCTTTCTTTCTTTCTTTCTTTCTTTCTTTCTTTCTTTCTTTCTTTCTTTCTTTCTTTCTTTCTTTCTTTCTTTCTTTCCTATTCCAGAGAGAGCACAAGCAGGAGGGGCAGAAGGAGAGAAAGATTCTCAAGCACACTCTGTACTGAGTCCTGAGCCCAATGGGGGGGGGGGGGGTGCGGCTCAATCTCACAACCATGAGATCATAACCTGAGCTGAAACCAAGAGTCAGTTGCTCAAAAGATTGCACCACCCAGGTGCCCCTGAAATTTATTTTTAACATAGTATGCATTTAATGACATAAATAGTGTCACATTTTGTTTCTTACTATTTTATTCAATTGTATAGTTTTGAAACCTGGTTACACAGCTATTTCTTCCATGCTGCCCATTGGCTCTGACACTGTACAGTATTCCCCTCGTGCATATCCAGATACCACATTTTACATATATAGGTATCTATTTTGAACTCCTGGCTTGCCTTCAACTGCTTTCTACCACAATATGC